ATTCAAGAGACGCAAATTAAAACAACACTGAGATTCCACCTCACCCTGCAAAGAATGGCTATTATCAAGAAGTCAACCAATAACAAACACTGGAAGGGCTATGAGGAAAAAGGAACCCTTCTCTGTTGTTGGTGGGATGCAGACTGGTGCAACCACTGGAGAAATCAGTGTGGAGATTCCTCAAAAAACTAGGATTAAAGGTTCCATTTGACCTCTATTCCCCTTCTGGATAGCTTCCAGAATTAAGAACATACCACAGCAATAATATGTGTACCCATGTTTATAACAGCACAGTTTGTAATAGCCAGATCTTGGAAATGATCTAAATACCCATTGTCTGAGGAATGGATAAAAAAAGATGTGGTACTGTTAAACAACAGAGTACTACTCAGCCATAAAGAAGGATAGCTTGGGGTGGGGATTTAGTTCAGCAGCATAAGTGCCTACCTGGCAAGCGCAAGGTCACGAGTTTGAACCCCATTACCCCCCCCAAAAAAAGAGGATAATTTGGAGACTTTTATCAGCAAATGGATGCTACAGAAGACTATACGCATAAGTAAAATAAACAGTATATTGTCTCCCTACTGTGAAAAGCTTAGAATAAATAAGACTCAAAATGTACAACAGATACTGTAAAATGGGAAAAAACTGCTCACAAGGAAAGAGAAACGGATGGGAAAGGAGAAAATAAGGGAAAAAACAAAAATAATAATAATGTCACACAACATAGATAAAGATAGTTACACTAGTAATTTATCTTGGTTCATTGAAAAGGTTTGTACTAATAATTGTTTAGGCAATCAAATGCCTATATCTTGTCCTGAGTAGCTAATTTAAAGATAACTATGCAATGTGCTGATTACGGTTACCCTCCTATTGCCTTTTGAAATTTTGAGATTTTTTCCCTAATTAAAAAAAAAAAAACAGCACTTGCCTGGAAAGCATGGGGTTCTCAGTTTCATTCCCAGTACCCCAAAAAATAACTAAAAAGCAAAAAAGAATTAAGATGTACCATATACATGCACCAATTTCCCATAGGAATGTAAACATTACATACTGCAAATGCGCAAGAAAAACAAAAGATGATCGAGGGAAAGAAAGGAGATGAAAACAGGAACTCGGGTATTACACACCTGTATCAGCTCCATAGGAGGAATGCAAATGCTGTGTACAACACACACACACACACTAACAAGACACCAGACCTCCTTCTACAGTTCAGCTTCACTCTCACGGTACCCTCAGAACCTCGATCTCACAGCTCCGCTGATGCCCACACTGGGGGACCCTCTGGGGTGCTTATGGCAAGAAGGTGAATGTGGGCAGGCACCTTCCAAGGAAGCCACAGGAAAGGAACTACGGAGACGTGACACACAAGGGAAAGATCGTATACTGGTTAAGCTGCAAAGAAATGTAGCTGCCGGTCTGCCTTCACCTCTGACCCTTCCACACAGCACTAAGCACCTGCTCGGGCACTAAGCAACCCTGTTTCTCCCAGATGCCACCAAAGAGTCCAGAGAAGGCAGCAGACAGGGCGAGGTTAACCAGTAGAACCGTTAGGGTTTTCAGCCATTCCTCTATTGGTATTTACACTTCAAAGCATGCTAGATTAACCCAAGCCTTCTGCTATCCATGTGCCTTATCTTAACTGGGGGGTCATGAACCAGGGGGCTATGAAATCAATTCAACGCTAAAGCCAGCTCCTCTTTTTAAATAAAATGTATCACAATGATGTATTTAGCCAGGATCAGGACAGTCTGCTCAAACGTCTGATTCTAAGCTTGATGTAAATTTGCTTACAGGGCCAGGCATGGCAGCACAGACCCGTAAATCCCAGCACTCAGGAGGCTGAGGCAGGAGGACTGTGCCAAGTTTTTGAGACCAACCTGGGCTACAAATCGAGCTCAAGGCCAACCTGAATGGCACTGTGAGACTGTCTCAAACAGACAAAAAAAAAAAAAGAAAAAGAAAAAAGAAATTGTTACAGGGTAACATTACAGTCCAGAGAATCTGAAAGGTAAAATTCTGTAATGGAAATTTACAAACCAGCATCTAATTCCTTCTAAATCACAATCCATGCACACTCACAGCTGTTGAGAGCTCCTGCTCCAATTTTAATCTGCTTTTCCCTTTAACATGAAGTGAGTACTTCATGTTACTTTCAATGAAAGATAGAGTACTCAGAGCCACACATCAGCTGAATTTCTTCATTTTTATTCAGCTACTAGACTCAGCTCATAATTTCTATTTTTCTCCCTCTATGATAATATAAGACTGGGGTGTGGCGAAGGAAAAAGGAAAAGGTCCCAGCAACCTCCCTTAAACATTTATTTAAAAACGGGAACCCAATCAGATACACACCCATCAGCCAAACCCAGAACCCCCCCCCCACACACACACACACACACACATGCAGAGACACCAGTGATGGAATAACTGAAGTATCGATCTTGTACTTCAAGTTTCTTCAGCAAATACAATCTGGAATGAAATCAACTGTAATGTCTGCAGAAAGTACCAATGAGAAACAGTACAGCATGGTGTGTAGGAGTGTGCTCAAGGCAGGAAGACCTGGTTACCAGTCACACTCGATACACTACCTTGATCTGTTCAATTAGTTTCCACTGATTCCTAAAGCTTAAAAAAAAAAAAATGGCATAAATAGGATCTACGCATCAACTGGCACCAGGAAGGATCAAAAAGCACAGAAATGATTTACAAGATATGAAAAATGACCTTTATGCTAAAATTCCTTCATGTAGATTATTTTGTAGTCATTTGTGCCTAGATCACCTGAATTCTTTCTCAATTTTTTCAGAGCTCTTTGTAAGCCCTCATCAAGAGAGGAGGATGGGGAGGCTTAAGACCATGACAGGAAAAGGGCCAGAATCCCCCTTCTTTGATCCCTGCAGCCAGTTCTCAAGGCCAGGTGGGCCTTTAATTCTCAGCGGCAGCACCCAGGAAACTCTCCCTGGGCAGCTGCTGCTGCTAATTCCAAATTGCAAATAAATGTGCTTGTTTCTCTTTTCTGGGGGGAAGGGAGGAGAAAGAAACGTTCCTCCCCAAACGGCACATCAAAAACTTAACAGTGTGTGGCTGCACCACCGCACAGCACCGACAACAGGCAGAACCCACCTTCCCACCTCTAAAACTAACAGCTGAAAAACTGGCCTTTTTCCACTGAGAAAAATGTATCATTTTTATGCTGAGAAAGCAAAACAAAAAACAGCTCCCTTGTAATAACCACCTGAAATACGCTCTTTTTCTGAAAGGCAAAGTTATTAAAGAAAATTTATCTTCTTTTACTAAGACTAAGAATTTTGGCCCACTCAAAAAAGGGGGGCGGGCACCAACTACCACCTGGTGACCATCTGCTACTAACTTCACAGCATTAACCAGAGGGGCTTCAAGTACCTTTTCAAACTCTCTACAAAGGCCCAGCATCTAAATGAGCCACACGAGCTGGATTATAACCTAATTAACAGGTTATAAAAGTCATCTAAAGGATAATCCCAGCACTCCAGAGGCTGAGGCACCGATCACTGCAGGTGGATCACTGCAGTTCGAGGCCAGCCCGAACTGCAGAACAGCACAAAAAGAGAGAGAGCGTGTGTGTCATCTAAGGGAAATACTGTATTGCTAGAACTTGTTTTTTTAATGATTACAAAAGGTCCTTCTTGCTCTGCTGGTCACAAATTCTTTTCCATCTCGTTTCCTTCATGTCTCTAAATTCAAACCAAAGAGCTTCAGGGTATTACCAGGAACCCATAGCCAATTTTTTCATACAAACTTCAAAAAGTTAAATTTTTAAATGCATGTTGAATATAAAGCTTTTCAGATGTGGCTCGAGTTTTAAAGGTTTATACATGTATACATAATATATATATATATATATATATATATCCCCCAAGCATCTTCCCATTCACACTCTTGATACTGATTTTATTATGCTTTAAAAACAAAAGCTTAGACTAAATTTCTAGCTGCCATTAAAGTAGTAACTTTGAGTTCCTACTTTTCTAGTGTTCAAACCTGGCCGATGAAATCCAGTTTCTTTTTACGGGTTGAAAGAAAAGAAGAGCTTCGAAAAGCCAAGGTCTAAACATTGTACTTTGTCAGCCCTGGAGACGGAAGCAAAGAGCCTGTTGCTATCCATAAAATAACAAATAATCCACTAGGATATTTTGGGTTGTTTTCATAAAAGCTCTTCTGTTCACTGGCTTAGTTTGGTTGCCCTGCTTGGGAGACCAAAACTTTAAAGGTACATCCTAACTACATCGTGAGATTTTAACCCCAAATATCTGGCCACTATGTATGTTTACAAACATTACAAGTTAGCCAGGGATGGTGGCTTTATTTTTCAAAGGGCCGCAAACAGTCCCCAATGGAGAAAAACTTTAACACATTCGGGTAAATTTGAGTCAACTCCCACCGTCCTTCTAGTAAGTCACTGGTAGGCCAAGATGCCACCCAGTATCGACGGGGGATCTCGAGGCAAGGGTACCCTCCAGTCTCAAAGTGAAAAGTCCAGGGTCCCGGCGCCGGCTGGGTGGGCCTGCACTCCGCACCCGCGAGCGCGCGGAGACTCCCCGGACTCCACTTCCAGGGGTTTAAGGGCCGCACCACGGAGGAGGCTCGGAGGCGAAGTACTCCGGCTGACTCGTGGTCACCTCTCCTGCACCGCCCCGCGGGGCCGGGACTCCCCGCGCGCTCCCCGCCCTGCGCCCCGGTGGGGGCCGCGGCTCGGAAGCCCAGGAAGTCGGGACAGCCGGGCCCAGGGACCCCGCGGGGCCTCCAAGGGCGTTTCTCACTCCCGTCCCCCGGGGTGACCGACCCGGCCTGCGGCCCGCAGGAGTTGGAGCTCAGGGGAGCGCCCCACACCCGCACCCCGCAGCCCTTCGCTCGCGCGCACCCCGAGCCGGGCCAGAGGGGCTCCGCGACCCCGGAAGGGAGGGGGTGGCTGCTCACGCCGCCCGGCCGCCGCTTCCGCCCCCGCCTACCTGCATGCCCGGCAGGCCCGGCTGCACCGGGGAGTGCGCCATGGCGCGGGACGGCGCTTCCTGGCCGGGACGGCCGGGCCCGAGGCGCGGCGACCAGGCCGCGGGGCTCAGCGGCGCGCGGCGGGCCGCGTCCCCATGCGCGGCGCCGGGAGCGGGGCGAGGGCCGCGGGGCCTGAGCGAGGAGCCACCGGCGTGGAGTCGCGGGAGCCGGACAGGGCCTGAGCCCGCGCGCTGGGCCGCCGGGAGCCGGAGTGGGCGCGCGCAGCCGGCCGAGCCCGCGAGCGCCCCGCCCCGGCCCGGCCCCCGCGCCCGCCCCCGCGGCCCGGCCGGGGACCCCGCCCCGCGCTTCCGGAGCCGGAGAGGAGCCGGAGCGGGAGGGAGGGAGTCAGCGCGCGAGTGAGGAGGCCGGCGGCGGCCCCGAAGCCCTAGGCCGCAGCCTCCGCCTGGCGCGCGCGGGTGGGGCGCGAGGGGAGGGAGAAGAGGAGGGGGCCTCGGCCAGCCGTGCGGGGGGCCCGGTGGACTGGAGCCGCAGAGGGGCAGGAAGCACCAGGCAGCTCCTACACTGCCGGCCCCTCCTGCCCTCTCCGATCCTGGGCCCCTGGAAACCTGGGCTCTGGGCGGCCCCCTTGGCCAGGGTTTTGAGGGGGTAACCCAGCGGGGCCTCAGCGTCTGCCCTTTGCCGAAAGACCAGGGCGGAGCTTCTTTGGTGTCTGCGTGAAGTTTCCAACCAGCCCAAGGAGGAAACCGAGAGGGGAAAGGCCGGGAGAGTGGGTCCGGTCCTGGGCTGTAGCGGCTATAAACAGCCTCGCTCGGGCTGCCGGGGGCTGGGTACTGCACTGCACTCAGGCGGGACTCCCCCTCCGTGAGGAGGGGAAAGTGGGGTGCGGAGCGGCCCGAAGGAAGGGAGGACAATGGAAGGAAGCCGCGTCTAGACTTCAGCCCCAGCCCCCCCCCCCCCGTTTCCAGCGTCTCCCAAAGCCCCAGGCGCTCCCTGAACCCCGTTCTGCTGCTTTTTTTTTTTTTTTTTTTTGCCATGTCTGCTCCATCGACCCAAGACAGGAGGGAGGGCTGAGTCCCTGCTGCCTCTTAGCATTTTATTTACAAAAGCAATAGGAAGTGGGCTGCAAGTTGAGACGCGGCGGTGCTGACGTCAAAATGCCCCTATTGCACCATAGTTGTACGAGGTTAGACACAAAATGAGTCCCCAATTGTTGAGACTATTGGAGAAGACTCAAAAGTTCTCCACCAGGTAAAGAGGGTTTTATTCTTTGAGGTTTGATCGAATTGCAAGAACTTCAGTTTCTTCGGATACTCAGGATCCCGCAGGAGGGAGATGCTAAAACTTAATTCCTACGTTCCTCTTAGAAGTGTGCACAGTTGTGCCTGAGCGTTCCAAACACATTGGAATGTCTTCAAGGTTGCCACTGGCCACTTAAACGCTGCCACCTCTGGTAGAACTATGAAGAAAAAAAAGTGATTAATTAAAAGCGTGAATCCCAATACCCAGAAGCCTACAATCTTACATAAGTTTTGGAAACCTTAGAAAGTAGCACAGAAGTAGAGATGGAGCACAACTATCAAGAACATTATTCTTGGGGCTGGGGATTTAGCTCAGCGGCATAAGCACCTGCCTTGCAAGCAGGCGGTCGTGAGTTCGATCCTTGGTACCGATAAAAATGAAAAAGACCAAAAAAAAAAAAAATTTAAAAAAAAGAACATTATTCTTTAATATGTTCAGACTTGTTTTATTTTTTGAGACAAGGCCTCTCTTTATAGTTCAGACGGCTTAAACTCACTACGAAGCCCACCCTAGCCTCAACCTCATGGGAATCCTCCTGCCTCAGCCTCCCCAAGTGCTGCAATTACAGGCACATGTCACCATGCCTGACCAATGTTCATACTTTTCAATCCTGAATTCTACCCAAACTAACATGCTAAGGAAGGAAGCAGGAAACGTGTAAGAATGTATATCAAAAGGGGTAACAAAGTGATATTCACAATAGTGGGAAAACAAAGAACAGAGGAAAAGTCAAAACAATAGTATTACCCATACAGTGAGTATTTTGTGGTCATTAAAAATGATGTATTTCGTCTGGGCATAGTCGTACATCCTAAAATTCCAGCAACTTAGGAGACTGAGGCAAAAAGATTGCATGTTTAAGGCCAGCCTGAGAAATGATTGAGGCCTTGTCCATCAAAGTAAGATTTTAAAAATGGCTGAAGATGTAGCTCAGTGGTAGAACGCTTGACAATTACATGTTTAGTAATGTGGAGAAATATTTTCAATGCATATTGGTAGGAAAATGCAGGGTATGAAATAATAACAGTTTTCTGATCTCAAGCCCCTATACCTCACATGTAGGAAGATTTGTCTGTTACTATGTGTAAACAGAAAAGCCTATATATGTGTATATAGCAGTGGCTGTCCCTGAAATTGAAGGTGATCTCTTCAATTCTACTACCAGCCAGAGCCAGGGGAGACCACCAGGCTGCCAGGCTAAGAAGTGCTCTCAAGGTCAAAGTCAGTGCTGTAAGCTGCAGGCCGGCTGAACAGTTGAGTGCTGCTCTGAAGCACTGACACAGGAAAATCAGAAATCACTTCAAAGTAGGCTTAATTTCCAGTAGATGAGGAAGACCGGTGGGGGGAGCATAATTAATTCTACAAAATAATCAGCATCTTGTTTTCTATCCCAAGGCTAGTGAGGCTAAGAACATGCCGGTTACCATTCATCTGGACAGGATGACCTGCACTCATTAGCTCGTCCATTTCGCTGGTTAGCCCTCCCCACACCAAACTTCACTTCCCCCTTTGACAGTATTTATACTGCTGAATGCCATTCTCATGGAAGAGAAAAGAAACAGCCACACACACACAGGTTATGGATCCACTGGGTGCTACGAGGCATTACCCAGCATTCCGTGGGCTGCAGGTCTGAGTTCAGGATCAGATCCTGCCTGATTTTGCATAGCATTGAATTCATTCACAATTTTTTTTTTTTTTTTTTTTAGTACTGGAGATGAACTCATGACCTCACGTTTCGTTCACACCTTTTTTGAAAGCCAGCCACACATCCCCCATGTAGGCCATTTAAACACTAGATCCTTTTAGGTACCTGTTTGTCCCATCCTAAGATCTAGTCTCCCCAAATCCTAACTGGGGAACTGCACAGTACCATACTGATAAAGCTAAGAGTGACAGTAGCTGTTGTTGTCACCAAGGGAAGAAAAAGATAGCCCTTTAACCCACCCCTTGTCACTCTTCCTCCATCCCCAACATGTATGTAATTACAACAGAACACATACTACCATAATTCTAGAAGGAGAGATGTTTGAGGGTCTCTGTAAAACGTACACATTTTGTAATCTCCATGGAGATACTAATCCATTGAATTATTTTCATCCTGACTCTCTTTGTCTTTTGTATGTATTTAGAGCATAAATTAGGCAATGAATTCTGCTCTGACATATTCTGGACCATAAAGGACATTTCCATATCCCTATGCCAAGTCCCACCCAATATAGAGTGTGTATTGGTCTCTTGTAAGCCAGTTCCTCACCTCTACTGTGTTCAAAGAATGCAGCCAGAACAAGAACTCAACAATCAATCCCTCTGCTTCCCTTTCTGAATTGAAATGATAAACACCCCCAAAATGCCACTTTCTAAAGAACAGCTAGACAAGGAGCACATTAGCAATTTAAATTCTCAGATTCAAGAAAGGGACTCAAACGGTGAACTTTAAAAAGTATGAGTGGCTTGGAGAAGTAACTAACGGCAGGATTGACAAATTTCTACACATTTAGTAGATGAAGACAAATTATTAACATCGATATAAAGAAGTGCATGTCTTCATCACTGGATAACATGCTGACAAGATAATGTATGCGAAAGCCCAAAGAGAAGATGCCAGCTGTATGGAGGAATTTCATTTTGGGGGTGCAGAGCCAGGAGGAAGGCTCCCACAAGGACATCCCTGTAAGGCAGCTTGTGGTGGCCCCATAACAGAAGCACCTAGCCTCGGTGCCATAAGCAACAGAAACTCATTTCCTCACAGCTCCCAAAGCTGCAAGCCTGAGGTCAGGATGGTGACCGAGTGGACTTTGCAGGTTTGCAAGTGGCAGTCTTCTGTGATCTCTCCTCTGCCTGTGTGCCCTGAGCACTCCTTTTTAGAAGGACACCAGTCACATTGAATTAGGGCCCACCCGAATGATCTCATCTTAACTTCCTTCTTTAAAGATCCCTTCTCCAAATACTGTTCAGTTACGTTCTGAGGAATGGGGGTTAGGATTTCAACATGCAGATGTCAGGGGATGCATTGCAGCCCATGTCAGCCTCTTGCCCTCTGAGTTCCTGGTCAGCCCCGGCCTCAGCTCCAGCGGCAAGCACTTCCGGAGGTTGTGAGCCTGTCTGCAAGCATGTCTTGAAGGTCTGCAGGCAGGTATGGCTGTGCAGTTACTTGGGTGTAGCTCCTCAGCCTTATCTCACACAAAAACTGAATCACTAACCTCCATCCCTGAACAACTGGGAGCAGAAGCAGAGGACAAAACACACTGGGAGAAATCATCAGGAAAACTTGGTCAAATCAGCCAGAAATGAGCTCAGGAGCTTCTGAAGGCCTATAACCATCTGTTGCAGGGGGCAAAACTTAACTTGAATAAGGTTTCTTCCCACTGCCTCTTTCTGTCTCACAACACTCAAAAGAGCAATTTACCAGGAGAGTTGGAGGCTGAGCCTCCTTTAAACATTCTCTGATGTTAGTTCTGGGGGCTCACACTAAGGAACATCAGGCTTTTAGAAGAGCTCACTGGAGCAAGCTCAGTAGAAAAAGGCTCAGGTATAATTTTGCTTGGCCAAGAACCAATTACCAGGGCTCATTTGCTCTCCAAAGAATGACCACTCCATCCTGCCTATCAGTCTGTAAAGATTCCAGTATACAAAGACTCATCAGGCACTGTGTGCCTTTTTACCTCCCTGCCAAAGCTGGGTTTGCTTTTAGATATATCCAGAAAGGGCATAAATGAAATCATCCCCAGAAAAGTGATGTCATCCATCCCACAGTCTCAGAACTGCCACACCGCTTCTTAAAAGCTCTTGGCCCTGTCTTCTGACAAGGAAGACAAATTGTAGAAAATGATTTTAATTTGCACTTCAAGTAGATCCAGGGAGCTACGTACCTAAAGAACATTATATAACCACACAATGGCATAATGTGCCTATGAGTTACAGACGCTGGCTCCAGCTTGAGCAGGATTTAATTCAGCTTGGATTCCTTGTGAGAAGGCTAACCTGACATTACCTTCTAACCTTCACCTGCAAAAAGACAGGTGTGTCATCTTGCACCTTGACTTTCCAGCTCATTTTTATTTGGTTTTCTAAAGAAGCTAAGCTAGAGATACTATTAGTTGGAACTTTCTAAATAACACATGACAAAAACCTAGCTCAAACTTCCATGAAAACAAGAGAAATTTTAGCCCAGTAACAGAAACCCAAGCTTAGCTAAATCAGGGTTAAGTAAACCAAAGAGGATGGGGTTCAAGAGTAAAATCAGAACCATCTTTCTCTTCTCTTCATTTCTGTCCTTCTGCTTCATGTCAGCTTCTTCTTGGTTCTTTGAATGCTATTAAGAGCCACTTTGGGACCCTATAATACCAGAGAAGAATGGGACTTAACCTTCCCCAGGATCCATATTCCAAATCTAGTGGAGGTCAAATTTGTGTAGGTTGATTTTTGTGACCAGAGGACAGGAAGGCAATTGACAAAAGAGTCCAGTCCAAATGGCATGGAAAGAAGGTCTCTAGAAAGAACAATTTCCCAGTGGAAAGAAGACTCTCAGTTTGCCACCCTCCACCCTTAAGCGGCTATGATTGTTAATTATGCTGTGTCAACTTGACTTGAGTAAAAGCCACCTAGCAGCTTGGTAAAGCTCTGTGCATGCTTGTGGATGATTGA